GGAAATGCCTTTTTACCAGATTAATAGATATATTAAGCATGTGATGAGAGGATTTGACAGTAACCATATGTTCCAAAACCATGAAACATTTAATGCTGGTGCATCAGACTATACTATTTGGATTAGAGGAAAGATTTTAATGATTTGTTTACCTCTGCACAGTTTAATCATTGGGTTTCCCCTTTACATTTTAAACCTTTATACATACATGATGTTTACATATTTTTTGCTTTGCCATGTAGCTGCTCAATATGTTTCCAATTAAATTATTTTGTTCTTACATTTAAAATTCACTTTAAATTCCTGATAATTTTCAAATTACCAAATAACAATGTAGGTAAATACTATAAACCAACTTTAAAGTGATGTTTCTTCTTTTCTTTAGTTAAGATTCAAATTTAACCTCACACGGTTGCACCCTATGCTTTAATTTTCTTTGTCTGCTAGTCTATACTCAGTATAAGAACATCTTAAATTTATAATTGTCACGCCGCCCGTCGGGTCTGCTCCTGCCAGAGAGTGGTATGGGTCACGGCACGACGTGCATCGTTGCAGCGGAATTCCCACACGTCAAGGGGAATGCCGCCAGATCCTTACCTGTCCTGCAGATATCCGCTGGGTCTGCTCATGCCCGGGAGCAGACTGGGACATGGCGGGCACATCTCGGTCTGGCAGCATTACCACGTGGTAATGGGAATGCCGCCCATCACTCCCCTAAGCTTCTGAGGGGAGCTCCTCCCCCTCACACAGCTGTCGGGTCTGCAATCATTAGAGATATTGGCCGCTGCAGATGCTTTTAAGGGCTTGTAATTAACCCTTAGAGTGCCAATGCATTTTGAACATGTGGGTGCGTCACACACACGTCCACTATCACATGCTTCCTTGCAGCCAATCAGGGAGCACCTTAGGCTATATATACCTTTTTTGTCCATTTCTCTGTTCCCTGTCGTGGTTTCCATTGTGGTTATCCGAGAGCGTGTTTCTGGTATTGATTCTAGTGTATTTGACCTTGGCTATCCTACTGACTATCCAATCTCTGTATTCCTTGACATTTGGCTTGGCTCCTGACTATTCTGTGTTCTATATTCCTTGACCCTTGGCTTGTTCATTGTTTCCATGATTTCTGCGTTCTTGTCCATATCCTGTCTTGTGGTTTTTTTCTTTTAAACGTTATATCTGGCCATTCTAAGGCCCGGTAATTCGTTTTAGGGATTTCTTTTATTTTTACTAATAAGTTCTGCATATTGGGCATCAGCTATTCCTGACAATGTTGCACAGTATAACAGGGAAGTAGACGCCCCTTTCCTCTGTAAGAGGATAGTGGAATATTTATACAGCCAAATAATACATTAGATCTAGTTCTCTTTGCTATTAAAGCAAGTTCTGTCACTCACACCTCTTTTTTTATACTTCCTTTAAATTTGTAGATTATCATTTGCACAAGGCAAAGGTTCATGGAGCCTGAACACACATTTCGGATGGATAGTGTGAGAAACGCTGTACTTACCTTGGCAGTCCGCTGGTCACATGCCATCCTGATCTGGCGGACCGCCGTGTCTTCTCACTGTGCCTAAACCTCCAGCCTCCCTGACGCTGGCCACTGTGCCCACACCCCTTTTTATGACTCAGCACTCACGAGGCTGCGCCATAACGTCAGTAAAGTTTTTTTTTGCCAATTATCAATGCCTTCTCACATTTTTGGGGCAATGTCTCCAAACCTGGAAAAGCATAGTTAGCCAATATCACAGTGCCCTGTTGTGGTTCCTTTGTGTCCCGAGAGTATGTTTATTTAGCTGCCTTTTGTCTTTTTGGTATTTCATTCAGCTATTTTCTGACTATTCTATATTTCTGGCTTCTTTGACCCTGCTTTGGCTTTCGTTATTGTGATTTCTGGCCCCCCTTTGACCTTGGCTTGTTTTGACGTTCCGATTATTTACTATTTACGCTTGTTCGGCCTGGCCACTCTAAGGAACGCTATTGGCATTGTCTATCCCTCTTTGGTTGGTTTGTATATTGCGCGTTAGTTAGATCATATAACTGTAACAGATAGGAGTTAGCAACAGTTTCCTCACAGTTTTTGAAAAATGTGCATAACTTTAGGATTGCTAAAATAGTAAAACTAATTTAAGGAAAAAAAATATGGTCCTCACAATCTCCAATCTCAAAAACTTTAAGCTTTCAAAAACACTAATTTCAAAGTTTCACTGCCACTTATGATCCCAGCCACAATACTTCTTTCTTGTGTTCTGTGAAACTAGGAGCAAAAACAAGTTATATAAAGTAATTACTAATCACATGAATGAATCTTGATGAACTGTAATTGTGCTCCTTCAACAGCTGCACACTGACACCTACAAATACACTCGGCACATACTCACTCAAGCTTATTCATGTACTGACCCACGTATAAAACAGTCTACAAAATGGCTTTGCAGGTCAGATGTAAGACTGCAGAAAACAACCTTATTATACTGTAAGGGCGATATCTGTAAGAAAGAAAAGAGATCAAATTGTGGAGAATTGAAATCTAAACTGGAATGAAATTGCAACATGTTTTGATTTGCAAGCATTCTACTACTCAGCTGTAGTCACAGCCTTGTGATTTTAGCCTACATATTAAAGTTTACCTTTCATTTCATTACAGTCCAATGTTTTTTGGATAATTATCCAACTAAAATCCAGGGATTTTAAAATCCATATCTTCTAATTCACTCTGATGAGATTTATTGAATCGTTTGATGGGTACACACAGTTGCATTTCGCAATTCTATCTGAAACTCTTTGACTTTTGCTTTTATTATAAACTACACATTTGCAGGGACAGGTCATCAAACCTTTGTTCTTTGATGTTGGGAAATAGATAAGCTATTTTTGTAACTCCATTGACAAAAACATATATTCGGAAATATGCCAGCAATGTGTTGATATTCTGCCACTGAACATACAGTACAGAGTTGTATCTAATGTATAGCGGCATAGCATGACTTTCCTGATACACATCATGATCACAATATTTGCTGACCGTTCTATGACATCCAGTGTGGCCTCTGGCCAGGTTTTACTTAAAGCAAAAAATATAAGCATCTAGTATTGTAGCACCATCATAGGCGTGCGCAGCCTATTGCATTAGGGTGTGCACCCTAAAGCACAAGCACACGCCGCATATATATGTATGTATGTATATGTGTATGTGTGTATATATATGTGTATATATATATATATATGTGTGTGTGTGTATATGTATGTATGTATATATATATATATATGTATATATATACATACACATATATACACACATACACACACTGCTGTGTGTGTGTGTGTGCTGTGTGAGGGTGCTGTTAGTGTGATATGTGTGTGACGGTGCTGGTAGTGTGCTATGTGGATGAGGGTGTTTGTGTGTGCATGCTTGTGAGGATGCTGTTAATGTACTGTGTGTGAGGGTGCTGTTTGTGTGTGTGTGTGTGCGCCTGTGAGTGTGCTGTTTGTGTGTGAGGGTACTGGTAGTGTGCTGTGTGTGTTTGTTAATGTCCTGTTTGTGTTTGTGAGGGTACTGTGGCAACGCTCATATCTCGCAAGAGGAACCCGGCGGAGCTGCCGGCAATAGCTCCGCCGGGTCCTCTCCTGCCTCCCTCCCTGCATGTGGGTCAGTGGGGAGGGAGGCTGAGAGCCGACAGGGGAGATCCTGAGATCTCCCCTGCTGGTCTCAATATACATAGGCGTGTTGCGGGGATTAGGGTGTGCCCAGGCACACCCGGCACACCCCGTGCGCACGCCTATGAGCACCATGTGATACAATACAATATTTACTTAAATAGTCTACTGTGATGTGTTATCATTATTAAGGAGCTTTTTAATAACTGGGGAAAAAACAGGACTGGTTTTGAAAACAAGCAATACATAATTAAATGTGTATAGTAAACACTGTATGGAGTATATCTAAATGGCAATCACTGGGAATTTACCAAACACACCCCAAAACATATATTTGTAATTTGTAATTATATTTGTAATTGTGTGCTGGGGGCTAGTTGTACCCCCAGCACACGTAACATTGGAACTCTCTACTGGGCTGCCAATGTCAGTTCTGTGCATAAAATACATTTGTAGTCCACGCACACTGCATGCTGCCAACAGAGAAGATAATCTTCCCTCTACAGGCAGAGTGAATGCAAGGGAAAGATTGCTATCCCCTCCCACCCACATTGTGCTCCCGTGCGCCTCCCTCCATTGCACATTGTATTTTATTTATTAAATTTTTTATAAAGACCCTCCCACCCTACTCTCCATCCTATCCCATCGCCAGCCTGGAGCGCACTGAGCCGGCAAAATGGTCCAATCATAGGCTTCCCCTGTGACATCGGATGCGGTGCTGAAGATCAGCATTGGGACCCGGGTGAGTAAAAGCTTAATTTTGCAGGTAGTGTCCAAAGGGCATCTTACACACAAAATATCCAGCCCCCACCCCCACAAAAGTAGAGTAACCCTTTAATATAAATATTTTTTTTAAAAGTAGAAGTTGGTTCAACGACACAGAGCTAGAGGGAATATGTGCTCAACTTAATATAACACAAATAGAGGTAAAGTTTATTGTGGGTTATATGGAAGGCATATCAAATCTACAAAAAATGTATAAAATTAGCTTACAGTTTGGGTACACAGGAGATATGTTGAGGTGTAATTTTTATAGATATATTATAGTTGTACTATTCATCTTGCTATTTTGTTTTTTTATTATTTGCAACTGCCCGAATACCATGTTTTGAGCAAGATGATGTTTCCACTCTTTCTGCTTTTAACACCTAGTCATACGCTATTATAGGAAGTTTTAAAAGTGATGCTAGACGTTCTCCTGCATCTCTATTTATTAGTATAACCAAATATGGTCCACAAATACAGGGCTTTCTCATGTGTTAATATTTTCACTGAATATTTTGTAATGAAAATGGTTCACCACCATTTCATCATGTTTGCATTGTCCACTTATTATTTTTTATTTTCAAGGGTTTGGTTTTTAAAAGAGTGTTAAAATCATTTGTATTTCATTATCACAACATTAACACAAGTCATCAATTGTGTGTTAGACACCACTCTATAACCACGGAAGGATAGTGGAAGATCCTGCTGATTTCATGTTTAATTTAATATTTTATGAGTCCAGTTATTTCTTCTTGTCGTCTTTGTTGCCCATATCATTTTCTTGTTGTAAATTTCTATTTATTAGAAATTTTTTTTTGAGGTTTCATCTTGTAGTAACAGTTCAGGAAATGTAAACATGGAACCAGGTGGTACACGCAGGTAGGGGTATAGCTTGCAGGGTGTCGGCATGGTGGAAGCCCTAGCAACCCACCTGGCGTAGTGTTTCCGGTGTTGTCAGGTCGAGGTCAGTGCCTAAGGTATTGTGTTCTGTCGTTCTCAGGGGTCAGGTAAGGTAGTGTACATGGGGTGTTTGCCATTGCGACCCAGTCTGTGAGATGTCCCCGGTCTCTCTAGGTGATATGGTACCCTAGCCCCCTCCCAAGCGCATCCCGGCTGCAATCCAGTCAGGTGTCCACTGTGAACCAGGCGGCACCAGAGGTTCCATTAGTTGCATTAGTTCCCCCCCATCGTGATCACCTGCTTAGGGAATGAGGGCTTGGAATTCGGCCCCGTCGGTTGAGATGATCCAATGTGTCCAGATTGTCATGTATGTTTGTTATTTCCCCTCTGCCTGTAGGGAGAGTTCCTTTAGGGCTTGAAGCTTCTCCAAGGCGTTGGTACCATAGGGTAATGGGGGGGAGCGTTTGGTTTTTCCAGTAGAGTGGGATCAGACTTTTAGCTACATTGAGGATTCTAATCGTTAGGGATTGTTTATGGGCCGAAGAGCGCTTTTTGGTGTGATGTAAAAGAAATGGTGCAGGTTTCAGCGGTGGCGAGTCGTCTGAAAACTGTTGGATAAGTTTGTGGATGGCCAGCATGGTGTGATTAGAGGGCAGTCCCACCGTAAGTGTATATAGGTACCCGTTTCCCGCCACACCTCCAACACTTATTATAGATGTGCATGCGCTGTGGGGGTCCGGTACCATAGTGAAAGCAAGTTATAATTACTTTCTTGTACCCCACTAGAGGGTGTGCAATGTAGTGTGAGGGTACAGATATTGGACCACTGTTTAGGCGAGAAAGTGGTACCTAGGGCTTCTTCCCACTTCCCCATGAAGCCGGCAGCGGCAATCTCCTCAGTTTCAGGAGCATGCCATAGAGCAGGCTTCCCCAAACTCCAGATGTTGCTGAACTACAACTCCCATGATTCTTTGAATGAAATAGATAGGCTGAGAATCATGGGAGTTGTAGTTCAGCAACATCTGGAGGGCCGGAGTTTGGGGAAGCCTGCCATAGAGAATGGTAAGTGGGTCAGGGTCCATGCATAGTGATTCAAATTCTGTGAGATTTCTCGAGGTGGAGTTGGCCGGGATGATAGATAATATGAATTCTGAAAGCTGGCGATGTCGAAAGCGTAACATGAAGTGTGACCTTTTGGTCGGCGCTAGGTATTCCAGGGGTTTGACTTTTCCATTATCAAGGGCATGGCAAATCCGGGGAAACTCTTGCCCCAATAGGTGTTTGAAGGTTTTGGCTTCCAAGCCCGAAAGGGAAGGCCATGTTGTGGACTAGGGGGAGCAGTGGGGATGGTGAGGTGGTAAGGGATAGTGGCGTGGCCATAGTGCGCCAGACTTGCATGGTTTCTTTGATAAGGGGATGGTGAGGTGGTAAGGGATAGTGGTGTGGCCATAGTTCGCCAGACTTGCATGGTTTCTTTGATAAGGGGATGGGTGGCTGCCAGCTCTCCGTCCTGGTGCTGGTTTAGCCAGAGGAGGGCGGAAACCGGCCAACCGATATGTGCTGATTGCCTATATCATTTTCATGCTAGTTTTTTGCTAGGAGCTACCCATTGGTGATAATGCCATGGATTTATCCTGAGAAAGAAAATAATGGTAAGTATGAATACATTTTGCTTATTTTTAATTAAATTGCAACAGCTGCCAAATCTCATGAGTTTAAATTTAGATAGGTAAACCAGTCCAGCAGTCCTATATCACTGCTAATTTATTTATTTATTTTTCCTCCTTGCTCCATAAATAGATTAAGAAAGACAGCAGCTGGACGTCTTCTCATGTACAGCAGTAAATTATGTTGCTAAAGTATATAGTTATTAAACGCATAACTTAAAGTCTTAACTATCAAAAAAAACATCAGGAGCATAGTTTTAGATTTACAAATTTAGTATTTTTGGTTAAAGTTTCATATCATGCATAATAATTTTCCCTAACGTGTAGACTTCCAGGGAGTTACACGAATACTACGTTAGGTTATTGACAAAGTCTATGGTCAGGACCTGGTATGCTGTTGCCTATAATATCTCAGTTCTGAGAACAGCATGTACTCTGCTCATGATAAACACTGCTGTTTGCGAGAATATATACATGCAGCGAGCTTTGAAATTGTGTAGTAACAGAAATATTTACTGGAACGATCTCACATATTACTGATATGGAGTAAGCATTCACCATTGAAACCCAATGGAATGTTAGCTATCTGCCAACTACACTGACTGCTCTGCTTTTAAAACTTTATCCCAGAGTTGCTCTTATAACCTCAGGTGTCTTAATTTGTTCAGACCTAGAAATGCCTTCAAAATAACAGATGTCACGGCAACTTCTCTCTGCTTTTTATATCACGAGGCCTGGTTATTGGAAGATCATTATCCCTGGGGATGGTGATATCATCAAAACTATATAATATTGAGGTTGGACATAGTGGCACTGGTAGCGTCTTCAAAGAAGGCATGCTTTATTCATGAAAGGGACAGACACTATAGGCACCAGACCACTTCATCTCAATGAAGTGTTGTGGGTGCCGTGCCCAGCTCATTTTAACCTCCGCAAATGAAAACAATGTTTACATTGCAATGTTTAAATGCCATCTGATTGGTGCAGCGCTATGTTTTGCCGCGAATGTGAACTATCCTCCCAATTATTTCCTAAGGGAAATTGTGATGAGACCAATCTCGCCTCCGTGCATTGGAGGAGCCTGGTTGCCCACCTGCTGCCTTTAGACTATGGCCCCATGTTGAAACGCTTGATTTTCCCCTGCAAAGACACGAAAGCCAGGTCATTCAGTGCTTGCCCTGTTTGAGCGGTGATACCCCAGATAGCTATGACATGGAGCCCATTAGTATAATGAAAGACTATGGGAAAGACTTTGGCTCCATAGCAATTGAACTGTATGTGTGTGATCTGAGCGCCATTCAGTAATAATATGCGCTCAGATCTGAGCTATCTGGGGATATGTTGAATGTACATGTTTTATGCAATGGCTGCACAGTTATATATTTTTATGTATTTTATTGTCTTTTGCTGCCATGTGTTCAATGGAGTTTTGCCTCTGTCCTTGGAGATAATTTGATTACTTCCAATTATCTCCTTGATAGAAGACTCTGTGGAACTGGTTTTTAGGCAGAAAAGCCATGCTTCATTTGGTCACAAAGGACTACGATCTATCTTTTGAACCACTGAACCAATTTGTATGATTTTGACGTATGTTTGTATTTGGAGTATGCTGATTCATGTGAATGTGATGCATACTTTTAAAATTATGAATAATGTGGAAAAACTGTATTTCTCTGCCTGTGATAACTACATTACCCATTGTGTAAGGTAATTGTATCACAGGCAGAGGGGAGGATTTTGTGTGGGAGTGTCTGAGTGTGTTGTACGTGTTTATTGGTTGTTTTCCAAAACCCTGTGTGTGGTACTAATGTGTAAGAATGTATATATAAGAACAATAAACCCATAGCTCTGTCTGTTCCTGTTTTGACCCTCAACACGGAACCTTGTCTCGTTCTTGGGGGGATTTATTGCATGCTGTTCCAGTTCGACTGCTAGGAGTGTAAACCTTTCGTATGGTTTTTCCTATTCAACTGTTTACAGCATTCGATGTTTGAGAGCATTCGTATGCTTCTCCGGTTCGGTGGATTGGTGTCTTTGGTTGCTGCCTGTGTATCTGGAAGGGGAATATCATCTAAACGGCCGTTTAACCCCTTTTAAGCCTGGGGGTGCCGTAACAGAAATCATTTGATTGGCTGAGATCATCATACTCGATGATCTCAGCCATGAAAGTGGGGCTGGATGTGGAGCCAGCATCAAGGCATGGGAGGAAAAGTAAGGAAACTAGTTTTTCCTTTGGGCAGTTGGGTGCCTCCTAAACTTCCTAACGCTGTAGTTTGACTTTAAAGTTGGATTGACTAGGATCACAGATAGCAAATGACCTATCAAAATTCAATAATTCCTAAGGCAAAAAAAAATTATGTTTCCAAAAAGTAATTTTAGACATTAGCGTAACATATGGACAAACTGGCCATTTTAGCAAATTATTCACAGCATAATGAAAACATGAAGAATGAGAAATTACTGGTTTTCTATAGACCCTCATTTTCTAGTTGATCATCGGGCTTCTCAAAACATAATTGGATTTTTTTTCTACATTTTTTTCATCAATTACAATCTAAAACTCATTAGGAGGACAGCACTGAATTAATAGTGTGGGTTGAAGATTGAGAATGAAAGAGCTGGTTTAGCCTCTTACATGATATCATGTTATATAAATGAGCAGCTTTAATAAAAAAAAGTATTGCAACAATAAAAACAAAAAAGTGTGGAACCTTTTTATGTAATTAGAAAACTTGCTCTTATTCCTCTAGCAGTATAATTAATCAAAAACTGGAGTCAGTAATCAATAAATAGTGTTTTCTGGTTTTCATCTGGTAATAAATTAGTGTTTTCACGGTCATAATCCAAAAATGTTGTCACGTTTTTACTGGTAATGCCACTGAAGTTAAAAGTTCTTACTTAAACCCAGGTTTAACGTTAGTCATTATTGTTAATTACACAGGTCTCTAGAACGTTACTCCATGCAAGTGAATAACAAAATAGATCCATGTTGAAAATAATTAATCTGCCCTTTTTTCCCCATTTGATAGTGCAGTGGTTATGGTGACGTGTGTTACTGAGCAATTTTGAACGTTATTGAGTGGATACGAACAATGTTTTCAAGATGAAAAAGTCTCAGTTTGAGAGTGCAATTCACTGTGATCTCTAAACACCATAACCACTACAGATTCGCCCCCAACTTTCTGTCTATCATTACCATCCAAGGTTGGACAGAGTTGCACTTAAAAACGTGGAATTGAAAATGTCATGTTATTCATTTGGCTACTGAGGGGACAGAAATGTCAGTTTTTCAAACTGCTCTACAGCACCATCTAGGACAACAGCCAATAGCATCATAGCCATTAAAATGTATAAATGGTAGTGGGTTCAGCGCTTAGTGTCTCAACGGAATAGTGTAGAGTATGAATATAGGCAGCAACCTAAAATAAAGACGTTCCCTCACAGTACGTCAAAGAAATGGGAAATCTAAAGGAAAGAAGATATTAGGTCGCGCCAGAAAATTAGTATAACAAGATAAAACATATAATACAACCGTAAATAAAAACTAAAATATCTCATATAAAACAAGTAAAACACATATAGATAATGTGGTAAGTACTTACATATAGCAGTACATACAGAAAGAAAATGATAAACAGTCCTAAAATAAGCAGGGAATGGTCACATCCACTTGAGGGAAGGAAATAGTCCAAATGGGATTGGAAAGAATGAGTGTAGCGTCTTGTTCCAGATACCAATATGCAAAAGAGAACAGAAGAAAAGATCCAATAGTGTAGACTGTATCTTCCGCTTCTTTATGAGAATTCAAAGTGAAAGGTATCACACTCACCTATATTAGAGCTAGAACTAGCTCAGGTGTACTTCGCATTCAGTGGTATTAGTCCCCCACTGGTGGGATATAGACGTATTCGCGTAACGAAGATCCTCGAGAGAGAAGAGGGTAACACAGAATAGTGCTCACTGTATAAATGTGGTAATGTTATAGAAATAGAATATATATAAAATAAAATGACTGTAGCGGTCATGCTACATAGTAGCATCTATTCTCTGTTTGTATTCGCAACTCTGTCTCTCAACTTCAAGACTGCACTGTTCCTATGGAACTCCCTACAGCCAGCCTCCTTTCCTTTGAAAAATCACAAAAAACTCCCTTCTTCAAAACATATATCAATCAATCAAAGTGATTAACCTTCCCTCCTTATACCTCACTGACCCACATTCTCTCCTGCAACTGTGTCATCTAAAAAAACTATGCCTTTATTGTAAACTATTCTTGCAACCTACTTTTCCTCTTAGCAGGACCATCAGCACCTTCTGTTCCTCTATGTCCAATTTATCTTGTTGAAAATACTTGTTTATTAGTCCACCTATCCTACAGTGTTGCAGAATTTGTTGGCACTTTATACATAATAATAATAACAAATATGCCCTTTAAATGGACAAATGTGTGTTTAGAATAGCCCAGAGCACTGTACAGGGGGATTGACATACCAGAGTCAAGAATATCAGCTATTTACTTTCCAAGCTAGAACCCTCTGATTTCCGCTGCTTCTGTCAAATCACTGAGTTTAATTATAAAAGTACCTGTAGTTGTAGAAGAATTTCGAGTGCTAATGCAATGCAAGAAGCGACATTGTTCTATTGATCATTAACTAGGATTAGCCAATTAATACACTGGCGGAGTGCTGCCTTAGGTTACAGTTCAGCTGTTGTATTGTTCTAATTCATTCACTTATGTCTTTAGAATTCTAAATGAGAACATGCAGAAACCACTTAAAGTTTGTTTTAACTAAGTCAGGTTTTGTTAATTGTACAGCTACAATATTACCCTAGTAATTGAGTTTAGATCAGCGAGTGTAAGTGTCAAACATATTTTTTAGGCATGAAATGTGTTATCTGACTAACTGCTCTATCTTACACCCCCTACATTTACATCTTTTTAACACTGTTATTTGTTTTGTTCCCACACATTAAAGGGACACTATAGTCACCCAGACCACTTCAGCTCAATGAAGTGGTCTGGGTGCCAGGTCCCTCAGATTTTAACCCTTTAGATGCAAACATAGCCATTTCAGAGAAACGGCTATGTTTACATTTTGGGTTAATCTAACCTCTAGTGGGTGTCTTCCAGACAGCCACTAGAGGCGCATCTGCGACGCTGGAGGCATATTATGCCTCCATCCCGCAGAGCGTCCATAGGAAAGCATTGAGAAATGCTTTCCTATGGACACTTTGAAAGCGCGCGGCACTGCCGCACATGTGCATTCGGCTCCGCTGATGTCAGACGGGGGAGCTGACGTCGGCGGGGGAGAGGAGAGGTCACCAGCGCCAAAGGAGCCCGGCGCTGGATTAAGGTAAGTTGCTGAAGGGTTTCCTGACACTATAGTGATCCTTTAAGGTTATTATGTATTAGAATACATGTATATTGTCTGTCTAAAAGACGGTGATTGTCGTGGGGAAAATGGAACTCCCTGCAAATCTAGCTGTATGCAGGCCATATTAACAGAAGGATGGATGGATGCTGTGGGGTAATTCACCCCACAATGTTCCTTAGAGTCATATTATAGTGCTTGGGAAATGAGTTAGAATTTGGCATTGTTGGAACAAACTAGTTCTCCTAGATGCAGGAACCTGAAAACGATATGCTTGGTTAAGCCATTATATAAACTAATGCCATAGTTTCTCTCTCTTTAGAAATTAGAAATATTAAAGGACCTCTAAACAAAATACCCAGTACAATGCACTCCCAGCCTTTACCCCTGCCTTCAGAGAGCCTCAAGTTCCTACTTAGTCGCTTGTGCTAGCTGTCCAGAACTAAGCGCTGATCACATTAAATCAATGAGGTAAGCCAATCACTGTTTTATAATAGGTTGGCTGCTTACTTGGGGGTGCTAGGGCATTCCTGTTGTGGTTATGGTGATTGAAGTGTTCCTTTAAGAATATCGATATTGTATTGACTGCATCATGGAACATTAATGCTGCTGTACATGAAATCAATTCCCATTATCTATCAAAACATTTTTGTAAGGTCTTGTTAATGAGCAGGCCATGATTGGATCCATTATATATCTATTCAATGCTCTAAAGTCCAGGCTTCCCCAAACTCCGGCCCTTCAGATGTTGCTGAACTACAACTCCCATGATTCTTAGCCGATCTATTTCTTTCATAGAATCATGAGAGTTGTAGTTCAGCAACATCTCGAGGGCCGCAGTTTGGGGAAGCCTGCTTTGTGTGCAGTAGGCAACCAGCATCATTTAAGCCAGTGAGATATTTGTGAAATCGGTCTGACTGTCATTTGCCAAAATTCCGTGTATATACATATTCTGTTGGTTACTACGTGGGAGGTAACCCTGGGAGACTGTGTACCCAAAAGTTAAGTTGGATTTTTTTTTATATTTTGTTTTATTTCACTGGTGTCAGGTGGAATTATCACATTTATATTCAATGATGGCAAAGCCTCACAGGAGTTGCAGTAACTCAATAGCCGGGAATGTAGTTTTGGCCGCCCCTGACATACAGTATTTACAAGAACTTTGAAAACACGGCCCACAGATATAGAACTTTTGTACAATAACAACAACAGATCACAGACTGTAGGAGTGAATGCAGAGGATGTTACTGTACTTTTAGCATGGAGATAAAAGTCAAGGTTAGTTTGATATCTCTTGCTAATGCTTATATCGTTATTCTGGTAAACTGTTTCTGAATGTTAATCATCAACTAAATTCTTGTTGACTAGGAAATTTATATTGTACAGTATAATGTCTCTGGAGTGCCTGTTTGTGTGTTCTCATTTGGAAATGTATGTTATGAAGACACAGATCGTGACCTGCCTGATCAAAACAATTCAAAGTGGAGAAACTCGAGACGTGTTGTGAAATGCTTTAGTCTGGTTTGTTAATAAATATACAAATCAAATCAAACTATTTCTGATTTAAGTTTTTTTCTTAAATAAAAAAATGGACTCATTTCAATTTTATTTAAGGCAATTCTAGCTAGAAGTTAACCTGTTTGTGAATTTAGGGAGACGTAGAAAAAAAATAGCAAAACAGATGGCCAATTTTATGCATATTCAATGCAAAACGCTTGTAAATCGTCACTGTTTGCTTCCACCCAACTCATTTCTCCAAATGAAAAAACAATCTTCTACGTTAGTACCAGATATTGCTCACTAAAAGTTTTGAGAATATTTTTGTGAAAATAGCAAAAATATGCAGTGCACAGGCAAATATTCTGTTTGAAGCAAATTCAGGGTTTGTTGCCTGTTCTTAATGCAGACTTTACCTGCCGATACCAAGTACTAATGGATAAGGAGCACTCCACGTACTATTAAACTCCAAGCTCACTGTAGTGGTTATGGTATTAGGAGTGCCCTAGAACCCTTGCATTGCTAGTAGTCCTTTGCTAACAATGCAGAGTCGGAAACTCTCTGTCTGAGCTAAGCCCCGCAGTGCTGGGCTAAGCTCATTGGCTGAGAGCGATTGCCTTGACCTGCAGGGTGCTGAGCTGCTTAGAAGATTCTGGCTCTGCATTGCCAGTAGTAAAGGTAAGGATGAAGGGCACCAGATAAGAAGTAAAACTGTTCTGAAACGGTTTTACAACTTAAAATGTGTAGAAACACTAGATCACTCTTGGCACTATAACCATTACATAGTGCTATAGTGGTTATAGTGTTTAGATTGAGCCTTTAAAACTAGTAGTTAATAACAGCACCCAGGGCAAACATTACCAACACACTATTTATTTGAATCCATATCAGTGTATTATAACATTTTTATTTTATCACTGCCCAGTTATGTATCTCCTTTTATTATATAATAATGAATGCAATTTTTTTTCATAATTACATAGATATGTCATAACGGGTATTTCTCTAAACCATGTCACATAATAGGCATTTGAGTTGACTGGTTTTAAGATAAAAGTCAAGGTTAGTTTGATGTCTCTTGCCAATTATACATGGCAGTTTTATGGACAAAAGTCTGCCTCTTTAAATTGATCTAATAGAATAGGTCACAAAGAATAGGATGAAATATCTGTTGCATATGTTTGGAAGTCCAAGATATTTCTAGATATTATCTGGTATTTGACCTGATTTTTTGTTATGTCTCTTTCACAAAAGCTTTGTGCAAACTCTTTCGGTTTAATTTCCTGTATACATAGGAACACATAATTATAGAGTTGGAGTAAAACAAAATCTCAGAGTCAAAGTTTGCACAGGCAATCTATTCCACTGTACAATTAAAATTGTCAGTTTGCAGATGTGTTATAAATATAGCATGAGCACTTAATGGGAAATTCATTCTCTTGGAGGAGAGGTGGACTTTCTGAATTCTGAGCTTTTACACAAAAATAATTAGTTTCTCAAAAACAAAATAGCTGGATAGGAGACACCTCAAGGCTTCCACAGGAGAATAAACAATAGGAATCAGTTTGATACGGTGATTGCTGCTGCCAGAATAATGACCCGCAAATAGTTTTGGTTCAATGACTGTTCACTCCTTGTGACTGCCATGTGATAGCAAGAGATTAGAGATTTTTCAATCAAAAGACAAACACGGATACAGATGGCACAATGCACAACAAACAACTACGTAGTGCTTACAAAAAATAGCTCCTCAGTCTTTTATGCATGTACATTATTTTCTGTATGCTTGTATATGTATGTCAGCTGTAGCTAACTCACACTAATATCATGAAGACGTGACTGCCTTTGTGCACTGAGATTAGATAACCCGCATTGTGTAGATGAATACAGAGAAAATACTGTATTGCGTTTGAAAAGATGGTCTGGCATCATGAATTTCTACCCTTTGGGTAAATCTAAACATTACATTTTGCAGTATAAATAAGTTTCGTTTTCTAGGGTTTGTATTCATAGATTTATTCTTTAGAGGAACATTTCAAATACCATAACCACCACAGCCCACTGGCTCTAGTAATGCCCTGGTACTCTCCTTGTGTAAGTATTCGTTTAAGAAAAGTTTGACAACTCACCTAGGGTCTGCCAAGTGGTTGTCACCTTCTCCTCCGCTGGAGGCTGATCGCATTTCTAAGAAGCTTCAGTTAGCTACCCTGAGCCAAGCCATGCCATGCAGGGCCATCTAAGACCTGCACTAACAGAGCTTCCTGGTTGCAGAGGAGAAGGTGACCAGCTCACGACAGTCCTTTGTGCAGGGACAAAATGACCTTAAAGTGTCCATTTAACAGACCTAAAGCTACTATACTAAACATAACTCTGAATTTAGTTCATATAACCTTTGCCCCATCTCATTTAAATAACTTGAGTAGAATATCTATTCTCAGTGTTTCCAATAGTTTATAAAATGCACTTCTAATATTTTTATGACTGTGATTATTTTGGGCAATACAAGTTTGCTTTGAAATTTCTTACTCCGTTTCTTCATATTAGTCGCCAAGAGATGTTGCCTGCTTGAAAAAAAAGCTCAATGAAATGCGTCCTGAGTTATTTTTGCATCAGAACCCCCCATCAAAAATCAATTCGTCATCAGGACACTTTGCTCCGTATGGCTACTTTCTTGATGTCCTCCAGAGAAATATTCTGCTGCTTTTTACAATAATGGTCAGTCATGTAATCTAAATGTGAGTTGACATTCTCTAATTTAATACAGTTACAACTTCTAAATACATTATTTTCTACTCCACTTTTAGATCTGGAATTTGATCAATATTTGAAGTGTGTTCTGCAACCAATGGATTCTGAATGATTTCTCTAGTAAATTACAGCAATACATCTCAGTCCGTTCAAGACAGATACTATATCATCTAGAAAGGCTTCAATCATTTGACACAATTAATACACAATTAAGGCACTTGGTATTCTACTTGGGCATAAATACATCAGATGTATCTGAATATAATGTGTTCAAAAAGGGACACTTTAGGCACCCAGACCACTTAAGCTCATTGAAGTGGTCTGGGTGCAGCGCCCCTATCAGTTTACCCTGCAATTGTAATTATTGCACTTATTGATAAACTGCAATAATTACCTTGCAGGATTAACTCCACCTATAGTGGCTGTCATTAGGCCTGCACAAAGACCTCCAGTGTCAGCTAAAGCCCCACAGGAAAGCATTAATTCAATACTTTCCTATGCGGTAGTTCTCATGCGAGCGGGGCACTTGCGCGCATGCGCATTAGGTCCCCGATGTCGGCAGATGTCAGGAGAGATGGAGTGGAGGCAGAGCTTGACCTAGAGCCGAGGGATACTTGCGCTGGATTCAGGTAAGTGACAGAAGGGTTTTTAACCCTTAGGGCACTGCATGGGGGGCATGTGAGCGAAAGGGGCACTGTAGGGTACTATAGTGCTAGGAATGCAACTTTGTTCTGGGTCCAAATCCTTAAATCTTTCCCTCATTCTGTACAGAGTATTTATGCTGCTATCCTTTCCCTGTCACTATGCCTTGTCAATCTGAGGTCTTTATTACTACTGTTTCTAGGCCTGTTCTCCTGCTTCTCTCCATTTTTCCTGAGTTGAAACTACAGATTATGGATTTTCTCTACCTCATTGTTTGCTTTGACTACCTCCATTGTTACCGCTTTCTACTTGTCTATATAAGGCCATTATCTCTCTACTGTTCTTAATTACATTCTGCATCCTTTCTGTTGTTGCTGTCACAGGATTTCTTTAGAACGTGGATCTATAAAAATCTGTTGGTTATTTTTCTGTAACTGTATACGTTCGTTACAAAGGGAGTAAGGATATTTATTCCTTTTAAAAACCTTTTCTGTTATTTATTTTATTTTATACAGTAGCTCATATATTTTATTGTATATCCTTTATTTTTGCATTGAAAGCCGTATCACAATTTTAAAACCATTTTTATAGAAAGTTGAAAAAAGGGCGCTTTAAATAATAATGTAATTGTTCACTTTTATGTATATGCCAGTATTTGAAATAACATGCCTTTTGACCTTTTGTTACTGGACCCCTATAGCTTCACATTTTCTAGTTGACATTATAATATTGAAGTGATAATAAAGCATTTTTTAATGGAATTATAAAAAAAAAATTTTGGACTTTCTTTTCATACTGTAAATTATTATCAAAGCTAGAGGTGGAGCTTGTCAATTAATTGTTTGGAGAAGCAACATTTTTGTTTAAAATAAACAGCAGTTTTGGAAAAAATACCAATTCCTAAGAACTTAAATATATAAGATGACAGCATGTATCAACATTGGAAACCATGCGGCAATAAGTCCAAACAGTGGCAAGGTGCACCAAAGATGTTGGAGACCTTCTACATCAGTCACAGACACCGTGTTCTTCCAAGATGGTATGTGTTCTGGAAGGCCACATGTTCCTCCTTAAAGAAGACATTATGAATAAGGTGAACAAGATAGAAAATCACATTCTTAAATGCCCAATGATGGCTCTTTAATTTATGCCAGTAAGACAACTTTAAATGTTAATGGCGGACATCAAAACATTGCTCACTGCAGAACATGCCATTGTTAAAGAATGGTGGTAATGGTGGGCCATATCAAAGCTGGAGATAACACAAGCAACACCAAAAACAGAGTGACTTGCAAATGCAGTTTGAATACTTAAAGCAAGCACAAGCATCCGTCGAGAGACATGGAAGTCCAGTCAAGACAGAGGAACATCAAGATAGGTGTATTAATGAAAAGCATGTCTCATCAAGAGATACAACAATTTTTAGGCCATTATTTTCTTTCTCCATGTTCCATACAAAGTCAAATGTCCTCTGTGCAGGATTTGCCATCATACTAGTTTGAAACCTTCAAGCTTACATTCTTTTCTGATTTATGACATTCTGCAATAAGTTAGAGGCAGTGTTTGTGACCTGTGATTTTGTGGGAACAAGCTATTTCTTACAGTTGTGGACCACAACACACACTGAATTTGAACAGAGAGGTGTGACAGTTTTACCTTGACTCCATTTCCTTTTCAACAAACTTACTAAGGAGCAGGACACCAGGTTATCCTAAGCTTCATCACTGTTTTGGGACAATAACAACAATAGTGTCTATTTCCTTTCATTTTGCTGGGTCTGCGACAACAAGGTCACAATCTCCTGCATCTTCCATTACCCGAAGAGGATACTCGGTGTGGGCATACATTTTAGAATACACTTTTTCTGATAACTAGTGTATGCTTGTAAAAACCAAAGGAAAAAAGTTACCTACGCTCTCTCCTTAATCCCTCTTTACTGTGATTTAAATTTGCGCTCTATCATATTTCCTCTGACACAGCCATATGCCTGCTTCCGATACTTTATGTTTATAGAGCAAATCATTTTCTCAAATGGAGTGTCTACTGCTGAAATTTGGTATAATTTTATTAGCACAGCAGCAACATGTAGAAGTCAGGACACACATATGAAAATGCCATGGGCAAAATGGCTGCAGAGCAAGAGACAGGATGAGGCAAAACAAGTGCCAACATACTGCTATCAGTAATCAAATGAACATTTAAAAAATGCAGGCCCACTGGCACACACTCCTACACATGCATACAGATACAAACTCAAAGACAGATACGCTTTCTGATGAATATGCACATACAGATTGTTTCTCCCCTTCTCACACATACACTCATATATACACATTCCCAGCTATACATATGCATATGCATTCAGAAGCATACATTTGCAGACACATACACACAGACAAATGCACACTACTAGACATACACACACATTTACACAAATATACATTGCCACTCAGGTGCACACACACACACATGCACACTGCCACATGCATATGTACAATGACACACACATAAACACACACAGATACACAATGATACACATATACAGACAAATGTACATTTGAGCCACTCTCCTCTTTTCATACCATTTATGTATAGGAGGGTGCCGTCGCGGGGGTCCAGTGGGCAGTGTGCTGTTGCCAGAAGGTGGTTAATTTTACGCTCACACAACTCTGTGTGTCGCTGGGAGGAAGTTATATATAATCATTTCATCCCAGTGGTGCCACGCCATGGAGGAGCCAAGCTGTTGTGTTCTGGCCAGGGTCCTGGTTCAATGTGACTGCTAAATGCTGGTCAGGGAAAACTACTGTGGCTGGCCCCTATTCTGAGACAAGAGAATTGATGTAGGATGTCCACCAGCATATTTCATGGGTGAGTTCTGGTTGGGTTTTAGGGAATTTTGTATGCCAAAAGCAATGAACTGGATCACTTTCATTCTAAGCCATCCTCTACCAGTAAAATAACCACGAAAATGTACATATAACATTTTTGCACTTAACTCAAGAGTTTGTTTTCACCAGTCATCTACGCGTGTCCCAAAATTCTAAATGTAGCATCTCAAATTTTAAATTCCCTGGTCAAATTCCAACATTTTTAGGTTGTAGTGAATAACCCGGTTAGTTTTAGGAAAGCTCTATGATGATCAATGTCTAGTACATTCTGTGATGATATCAGGAGGTTTCAAGCAGTACCGTGGTTAGGATCCTGGCACAGCCAAGGGCATGCATGGGCCCTGTAGCACTAAGTGGTCTAGTTGGGGAGATCTATATATCTTCTCTAGCTGAACCACATTGGAAAGTAGTAATAGGTACGTTTATCAGATGGGAGCCTCCTCAGAATTCCTTATCAGATGGGATGCCATCGTTACTATGTAGCTAATGTAACTCTAACAGCTGAGGGCTCAGACGCAGGGCAGTCTGCGGAGAGGGATGGGACATAGCATGTTATCCCACTCTTTGCCGCCCCATGTTGGATTATTATTTTATTTTATTATTTATAAAATATTTTACCAGGAATGATACATTGAGATTTCTCTCATTTTCAAGTATGTCTTGGGTTTGCAAGCTATAGCATCTCAGGTAGCACTGCCTAAGAGGGTAGGGGCAAGCAATATACACTGGTCAAAAAAATAAAAGGAACACTTAAACAACACGATGTAACTCCAAGTCAATCACACTTCTGTGAAATCAAACTGTCCACTTAGGAAGCAACACTAAATGACAATCAATTTCACATGCTGTTGTGCAAATGGGATAGACAACAGGTGGAAATTATAGGCAATTAGCAAACACCCCCAATAAAGGAGTGGTTCTGCAGGTGGTGACCACAGACCACTTTTCAGTTCCTATGCTTCCTGGCTGATGTTTTGGTCATTTTTGAATGCTGGCGGTGCTTTCACTCTTGTGGCAGCATGAGACAGAGTCGACAACCCACACAAGTGGCTCAGGTAATGCAGCTCATCCAGGATGGCACATCAGTGTGAGCTGTGGCAAGAAGGTTTGCTGTGTCTGTCAGCGTAGCGTCCAGAGCATGGAGGCGCTACCAGGAGACAGGCCAGTAGGAGACGTGAAGGAGGCCGTAGGAGGGCAACAACCCAGCAGCAGGAGCTACCAGGAGAGGCGCTACCAGGAGACATGAAGGAGGCCGTAGGAGGGCAACAACCCAGCAGCAAGACTGCTACCTCCGCCTTTGTGCAAGGAGGAACAGGAGGAGCACTGCCAGAGCCCTGCAAAATGACCTCCAGCAGGCCACAAATGTGCATGTGTCTGCTCAAATGGTCAGAAACAGACTCCATGAGGGTGGTAGGGGGGCCCGACGTCCACAGGTGGGGGTTGAGCTTACAGCCCAACACCGTGCAGGATGTTTGGCATTTGCCAGAGAACACCAAGATTGGCAAATTCACCACTGGCTCCCTGTGCTCTTCACAGATGAAAGCAGGTTCACACTGAGCACATGTGACAGACGTGACAGAGTCTGGAGACGCTGTGGAGAACGTTCTGCTGCATGCAACATCCTCCAACATGACCGGTTTGGCAGTGGGTCAGTAATGGTGTGGCATTTCTTTGGGGGGCCGCACAGCCCTCAATGTGCTTGCCAGAGGTAGCCTGACTGCCATTAGGTACCGAGATGAGATCCTCAGATCCCTTGTGAGACCATATGCTTATGCGATTGGCCCTGGGTTCCTCCTAATGCAAGACGATGCTAGACCTCATGTGGCTGGAGTGTGTCAACAGTTCCTGCAAGACAAAGGCATTGATGCTATGGACTGACCCGCCCGTTCCCCAGACCTGAATCCAATTGAGCACATCTGGGACATCATGTCTCGCTCCATCCACCATTGCACCACAGACTGTCCAAGAGTTGGCAGATGCTTTAGTCCAGGTCTGGGAGGAGATCCCTCAGGAGACCATCCGCCACCTCATCAGGAGCATACACACTGGCATTGTAGGGAGGCCATACAGGCACGTGGAGGCCACACACACTACTGAGCCTCATTTTGACTTGTTTTAAGGTCATTACATCAAAGTTAGATCAGCATGTAGTGTGTTTTTCGACTTTAATTTTGAGTGTGACTCCAAATCCAGACCTCCATGGGTTGAAAAATTTGATTTCCATTTTTTTATTTTTGTGTGATTTTGTTGTCAGCACATTCAACTATGTAAAGATCAAAGTATTTCAGAAGAATATTTAATTCATTCAGGTCTAGGATGTGTTATTTTTGTGTTCCCTTTATTTTTTTTGAGCAGTGTATTTGTGCTGCTTACTTTGGAAGGACTAGATTTGGGATCTGTGTATGTGTGTTTCTAATTGTGTGTGCATCTCACTGTATGTCTGTTTGACAGTGTGTGTGTGTTTAACTATGTTTCTGTGTGTATGTGTGTGTGACTGTGTTATTTACAGTGTGTATGTATATGTGTCTGACATC